TTCATCAAACTAATCCGAAATAACTGCAAATATTAATAAGTCGACTCGTAAGTCCGTTGGTGACTAAACAGTACAACTCAAACTCTGGTTCGCTGCCAATGATATGGCGTGTCCGCGGTCGCGCTTGGCGCTGAGCCAACCTGTTTTTTTCTCGACAAGCGACAGGACTACCATATCGTTCATATCAGACGTGCAAATATTAATAAGTCGACATCATCTCGTAAGTCCGTTGGTGACTAAACAGTACAACAAACTCTGGTTCGCTGCCAATGATATGGCGTGTCCGCGGTCGCGCTTGGCGCTGAGCCAACCTGTTTTTTTCTCGACAAGCGACAGGACTACCATATCGTTCGTATCAGACGTTTTCCAGCAGTTGGTCTCCTTTATCGGAATCATTGGCGGAGCACGAATCTGGCGGCGTCGACAGGGACACGCTCCATCATACGCAACGGAAAACACTGTAAACAAGTGCACAGGTTCGCCATGGACTCCCTGAATCCTATAGACACATTTGCTCGCGTGGACAGACATTACGCACAAGTTGCACCATCCCATCAGCGCACAAGTTGCACCATCCCATCACTTCTGCGCGGACCTCAGTGCGCGGCGCATCCAAAGTCAGCGTGATCGGCGCTAAACGAACCATATTCTGCTCCTGCTCCACCACAGGATACGTTTTTCATGCGTTCCTGGTTATTCGAACACGCTCACTTGAAACGGTACACAGGAAACGGGTTTTTCGCGCAGCTGGGAGTGTTCCCCAAGAAATCCCCATCGAGATCTCATGAATCCCGAGAACTTCAGAAACAGTTCAAGAGGTTTTTAGAAAGAGAAAATCTTCAAACACTCGAAACCGTTCTCAGATTTGTGAAATGTTGAGTTACAAAAAAAATATATTGATTCAAACCTGTTCAGTTGAAATCACTCCCCAACGAATCCCCATGGCAGATTTCTCTGTGATTTTTGCGACCTTCATAAACGTTTCAGTACTTTTAGGAAGTGCAAACCTTCCTCTACATACGGTCTCCTCTTCCCCACAGGTCCGCTTTTGAGGAAGTTATGGTCCTTCAAAGACACCCCACTTTGCTGAAAACTCGCGTTCCACATGGCTGGTCCTGCCCAGAATCCCTCCCCCGGTACCTCGGCCTTTAATCAGCTGATTGCGGCTGGTTTGCTCTCGTATTTACTCTTTCGTGTTTATCTTCTTCTCGGTTTATTCGAATATCGAATATTTATCTTCTTCTCGGTTTACTCGAATATCGAATATTTATCTTCTTATCAGTTTACTCGAATACGCGTCAGAGCAAGCAATTGCTTGGACCGCTCAGAGTGCTTTTAGGAGAAGTTGGCTTAATTTCCTGTTTTTTTCTTTTAATTGCAATTGATTCAGGTACCAGAGTTTGTTTTGACTCGAGGAAAGGTGGGTGAAACCTAATGGCCTTTCTTTTCTATTCTCTTTTCTGAATCAGGATAGAAATGAGCAAAAAGCGAGGGGGGCCTCGTTCAGGATTGTTACTTTTTCCATTTTTCGCGCTTACTTATACATAAACTTATGAAGTTTCTTCCTCCTCGGGGGGGGGAAGAAACTTCATAAGTTTATGTATAGGGGGGTCGTACCGAACCCCCAAAAGGGGAGGGGGGGGGGTCGTACGGGCTCCACCAAAACCCCCAACTAATGCGCCCTGGGGGAGGAAGCTCGGGGGTACGGCGGCCACCCGGGCAGCGACCCGCCCGACCCCGGCAGGCACCCGCCACCGCGGCCGGGTTGCAGTACCCCACGCCTAATCTAACCGGTCCACACAGACCCAGGCCCCGTTGTGTGCATCCACGGACAACACAATTAATCCCACACGCTAATTTTCGAGGGTACTGTATACCCCCTAACAACTTGAACCTATAATCTTGTGGAACAACCTGAACCTATAATCTTGTGGCTATGGATGCAGCTCACTGATTGCAGGATAATGCAGCACCTCCAAGTCAAACCAGTCACCTCTTGCTGAGTGCGAATGCCGCGCATACAGTACCCGTTTGCAGCACCGCTTTCCACACTTCGCCTCTATATTGTTACTTGCGCCACCATAGCTTGGAGGGGGACTGCCATTTTGATTGAAACTAGCGAGTGCTATTCCTGGGAGGGAGCAGACGACGTTTCCCTACTTATCTTTGCCTCCCTCAAAAGAAGTAGCAGTCAGAATAAGTGCCGCTGACGTAAGTTGGCGGAAGGGGTGGGTGGAGGGGCACGACGAGCCTTGTGCAGCGTTAGGCTTATAGTGCAAACGACCGACCAATACAGGTGTCACCGAGGGATAGCCTCGCAGAGAAGTCATACCCCTAAGGCTAAGCCTTGATTAGTGAAGGGGCACAGAGGCGCTGCCAAGTGTCTCTCCTCAAAACTACGTAAGCGAGGTGAATTAACGTTTCATTAATTTTTATGTTTTTTTGTTATTATTTTCCAAGTTAGTTTTGATGGAAGCAGGTTGCTCTTGATTTATTCTGTTACGCAATTACTCAAACCTTCCTGCGATCTTTTGCATTTCCGTGGGAAGTCTTAGGAGAGCGAGATGGGAACTTGCTGATAACCAAAAACGTCATTCGACTTCATTCTGTGTCACTTAGAAAAAAATCCTGGAAAGGCACTCTAACCAGTTGTAACCTCAAGTAGGAAAGGGTATGAGTGAAACTTCATGCTTGCGGTTTCAGTTACGAAACCGGAATACCCTGTGAACACTCGCAGCGAAGAAGCATGCAGTTGACAAAAGCCCTGCTACTCTACGATTACACTCATCTCCTGGAAATGGAATGGGCCGGCTGCTTACTTCACTTGAACGCGGGGCGCTGCCGCATTTGGTGGGATATTTCAATATTAAGGCAATTGTCAACCTTTGTCCACCCCAAGACAATGGCAGTTGTCACAGATGAAGATATGAAAAAGAAACGTATCGTACGCTTCGTCCAAATGTAAAACAATCCTACGCCGTCCTCATTTCCAGCATACTAATATACACGTGCAATGTGAGGTCGCCTGCAGCAGGTAGCTGCAAAGAAAAGTGTACCGAATGCTTGGGTGCACGGATACTCTCTGATGTTCGGATAAACTCTCAGATTGCTGTAAATTTCCGCAAAAATTTGAGGGGTTGCTGTTTCCTTGTTGAACGTTTTGATCTATTTCGTATATATCTTGAACTCTTTTGGAAAATAGTCGGCTATGTTCAGGTTCAAGCAAGATCCGCAAAGGAATGCATAGATGCACATGATGGTAGCGTTCCAGACAAGTGCTTCTCGTTGCTTCAGAATTTCACCGACTGCAAGCGATCGTTAGTAGATATGAGGAGTCGCTTCCGTGGGCGCAAAGGAGATTTGTGAAAATACTTAATTGTCATTTGTCTGGATTTCAACTGGTAAAATCCATATGCTTGTTCGACATGAAATGTGGTTTTTTCCTCATGAAGATACTTTTACGCGTTTGTTGCGAGAACCACGTGGTTTCACCTAGTACCTGTTGCCCACTTGATTTTGATGAGTCGATTCTATCTATGGATATGAAGGTATGCATTTCATCTTCATAGACACTGCATGCTAGAATTGGGAGCTGTTTCTGTGGCATTTGAACCGGAAACTCTACAAAATGGGCAGTCTGGGAACGTGACCCAAAACTTTTTCGATGACGTCAATCTCAAGGTAACGACAATGCAAGCATGTTATTGTTAAGCTTTTCTTTTGTTTCTTCAGATATGCACAGTAAGAAACAACGGTTCTCTTGGTATTACTGCTAAGTCGCTTGCTGAGAAAGACGTCGTCTCTGCAAGGTAATTAATGTCTTGTAAGATATTCTGAATTCTGAGCACTATTCAACTATTAGTCTTCTTCTTCTCCCTAGCGTTAGTCCCGCGCCGTCGCAGGGTCCGCTGATCTTGTTAGACGTCGCCACTTGTTCCGATCCACTGCATCTTCTGCCGTGGCTTTCACTTCAGTGAGGTCCTTCTTGATGACGTCCCTCCATCTTTTCTTTGGGGCTCCTCGTGGTCGCTTGCCCTCTGCTTCGAATTCCAATGCCTTCCTTATTGGGTGGTCTTCAGGCCTCCTCAGTACGTGCCCATACACTCCTCATCATGACGGACTGTCGGGGCGTATCGGCCAGAAGGAGTGCGCACACTGTTTGAAGCCGTTCTCAGCCTTTTCTTGAAGCGCGTATGCGGGCCCACAACAATACGCCGCCCAGACCTCACCACAAACACACCAACAGACGCCACGACGGAGAGACACGCACTCTGCCCCAAAGTGGACTTTAGAAAACGAGTAATACGAAGGAATATAATGGCCGTGTTGATCTGTCATTTGAGTCGTCCCTCAACAACTGGTGCAGAAAGACCCTTTGGAACCGCGGAGAGAAAACGCGTAGTAAGCCGCCACTGAGTCCCTCGACGAGGTCGTCGTACATAAAGGAGTTGATGGAGGCCTTGGCCGTACAGCAGGTTCGGGCTGCTCTCGTGCCTTCAGCTGGATCGGAGCCGTCTGTGTGACCGCTCTGACGTCCTCGTTTCTGACTCTGTCGAGTCGTGTCCAGCCGCAGGCCCATCTCAGCATCCTCATTTCAGCTGAGTGGAGCTGCCTTTCATGGTTCTTGCAGATAGGCCAGCACTCACTGCCGTAGAGCATTGTAGGCCTTACCACCGCCCGGTACACCTTGCCCTTGAGCGTTCTCGAGCACCGCCGGTCGCACAGGATGCCAGTGGACTCCCTCCATTTCATCCAGGCTGCGTTGATTCGAATCTTCACCGCTGGTCCACGCTGCCATCAGCTGGCTGTAGGACGTTTGTGCAATGCACTTTTTTCGCACCTCTGCTCTCATGATGGCATAGTTGCCTGCGGTGTGACCTCACTTAATTGCTTGCTCAGATCATCGGTTACACTGTTTTCTCAGTTATAACATGTTATAACACAACTCGAAGAATATGGATAGGGAAGTGTGAAGTGAATATTAGGTTTCAAACCGGTGAAACAAGAGTTTTAAAAAAATTTTGGAGACCTTTCCTCAACTTTTACGTCTAAGCAACCAAGTAACTTTATTGGTAAAATAGTATATTTCTTCAAATACAAATATGAGAAATATTAACAGCTTTCATTATAATACATGAGCAGAATTCAAATTGTTGTTTGGTTGCAAATCTTGACATCTTCACACAATATTCTTCTATCTGACTTTCACTCACCCCGTTTATTGTTCGAACCGGGGAGCAGAAATGAAAATTCTTTCTGTGCATCTCACATGTAATTAAAAAAGTATGTCCAATGCCTGTCCAATGTACCAATGTATGTCTCTGTCTTTCTTTGTTGTGATAGTGCAGGAGCCGCTGTCTGAGATAAATCTGAAACGGTAGAATCACCAAGCAAGGAATCTGGTGCAGGCGGAGTTGGTACGGCGTGACGGGATTGTAGATGAAAGCGGAACAGATGACGTTCTGAGCTGCAACCAATGTCTTGTGAAGCCGAATGCAGATCATCAGGGAATGTGGGTTCAGCTGAATTATAACCTGTAGAAATCTGTGAAGTGGTGAAATAGTACGATGGTGGTGTGAAGGATTGGGGAAAAAGTTGGGGCAAAGCGCCTATGTATAATGACGGATCATGCGGAGACATGGTGGACTGGGGGCCTTGAAGAACCGCGGAGTTCATCCAATATGTAGGTGCATGTTCTTGGTGGCTAGTGCTAGAGGAAAGCTGAGGGAGAGAGGGACACGTGTAGAAGGATGATGAGAGCTGCTGAAGATCGTCGCAGAGGAATTCGTGATTCATGATGTGCTCAAGTGAGTGCATAAAGCAGTACTGCTGGTTGTTGTCAAGAAGCGCCCTTGAATCCTTTTTAACGATGACCTTTTTATCAGGTGTCAGGATAAGGAAGAGATAATTAAAAGCTCTGACGGTCACATTCAACGAATTGACCCGCTTGAAGGCGGTAATCTCTTTATATATATCGTCTATAAACGCAAATAGAAACTTTCTATCCGAGTTGGGGAAATGTTCTCCACAATGTTTTTCTTTTAAACTTTTTAATCATCGGTTTGAAACTTAATACTCATTCAGTCTTCACACTTCCGTATTCATATTTTTCGAGTAGTGTTATAGCATGTTATAGGAGGTTGAACAGCGTAATCGATGAGAGGTCAGAAGGCAGCGAGCCAGCAATTAAGTGGGGTCATACCGCAGGCGACTCTGCCATTATGAGAGAGAGGTGCGAAAAAGTGCACTGCACAAACGTCACATACCCCCATCAGCTGCTAGGTCGCTCCCCAGGTACTGGAAGTCCTCGACCCTTTCGATGCTCTCGCCATGGCAGTCTACGATGGGTTCGGTACACTCTTCGGAGCTCAGGAACTTGGTCTTCTTTACGTTCAGCCGGAGTCCATTCTCAGCGAGCACATCCTGCCACCGCTGCACCTTGTCCTGAAGTTCCTCCCTGCTGTCCGCTATCAGGGCGATGTCGTCAGCGTAGAGGATGGTTTTCAGTGGTCCCTCCATGAGTTCTTTTGCCATGACATCTAGAGTCAGGAGGAAGAGGAACGGGCTGAGGGCTGATCCTTGGTGTACCCCAACCGTAATGTTTACCTCCTTTGTCAAGCCGTGAGGGGTGCGTACAGCTGCTTTAGCCCCATCGTACATGTCCTTCACTATGGAGACCAGGTGCTCCGGAACGTTACGTTCTCTAAGCGCTCTCAGAGTACAGGCCGAGGCAGGCGGTCGAATGCCTTCTCAAGGTCCAGGAAGGCTAGGTAGCAGGGTCGCCGCTTCTCTCGGTACTTCTCCATCAGCTGTCTGGCGATGAAGATGGCATCAGTGGTGGACCTTTCGGGCATGAAGCCGAACTGTTCCTGCGAGATAGGGACAAGCTCCCTCAGCCTTGTGTTGACCATTCGCTTATACAGCTTCATGGTATCACCTGTATCACCTGTGCTCCCGTTGATCATCGAGTTCCTCGAGCGGGCGCCAGTAACGTCTCCATTCGTCCCTGCAACGTGCAAGAGTTGCCCAATGAACTCTCTCAGCTCGAGGGACACGATGAACTTCATACCATTCGTTCAGAGCTTTCCTTCCTTCAGCCGTTACCTTGTTAGGGAAGTGTGTGAGCCAACTCACCCCATGCTCTCCAAGGGCCTTCCATGCCTCTATCGGTACCCCGTCTGGACCCACTGCTTTCCCAACTTTCATTCTCCTCTCGGCGGACTTCATCCTTCGTCCAGGGAGTGATGGGACCTGCCGTCGCCTCTATCTGTGGGCTATCCTTGCGAGGGAATTCTTCGTTCAGAAGTCCCTCGAAGTATTCTTCCCACCTCTTTCTGACTTCGGCTGGTTTCCTGAGAATGGCCCGTTGCTGCTCTTCACAGTCTTTACGACCCTGATGTCCTGAGCAGCGCGATGCCGAGCTTTGGCCACTCGGAAGACGAGGACAATATCTCACGAAACGTGGGCCGCTGCTTTTTAAAACCAAGTACGCAGCCACGATTACCCGATCTCACGGATTTCGAGAATATTTATATGCAGAGCGTAGTGAATCAGGCCAAAAAAGACATGTTGCTCAGAGACATGGTCAACCTGTCCCCTTTTCGGCCATCCAGCTTCTCGTACAGGCGTCCATTTCCGTATTCTTGGCCTTAGCAACGGCTGCCTTGGCGAGTCGCTTGCAGCTCTTGTAGGCAGCGTAGTCTTCTGGGCTCCGTGTCTTTTGCCAGCGTTTGTATGCTTCCTTCTTCTGCTTGACGATCCCCTGGACTTCCTCGTTCCAGAACCAGGCTGCCTTGTCTCCTCTGATACCACCTCGCGTCTCTCCCAGGACTTCCTTTGCACACTGTAGGATGACCTCTGCTGCGTAGGTCCAGGTGTCCTGGACTGGCCCATGTGGGTCTGGGAGCCCAGCCTCCAGTATTCTTCGGCCGAGGCTATCCTTTTCTACCTTGCGCATTTTCCACCACCGAATTCTTCGCTCTGCTCTCACCCTCGTCTCTTGGGGAGGTCTATGGCGATGTCTGCCAGGAGAGGCCTGTGCTGAGGGCCCAGCTCTTCCCCAGGCAGTACCTTGATATCCTTGACGGTTTTGAGAGACGATCTTCTGACCAGGACATGGTCGATTTCCGTTTGTCTCCCTCCACTGCTGTAGGTTACCTTTTGAGTCCTCCTTTTCGCGAAGAAGGTGCTGCAGATTGCTGTCGTGGGCTGTGGCTAGGTCAAGGATCCGTTCTCCCTCAGCGTTTCAGCTCCCACTTCCTTGACCTCCGTGCACCCTTTCTAGACCCTTCTGTCATTTCCCACATGGCCATTCAGATCCCCAGCTATGGTGAGGTAGTCATCTTCCGGAACCGATCTTATGGCCTCGTCCAGGGTCAGGTAGAACTCATCCTTTTCCGCCTCGGAGCAACCGGATTGTGGTGCGTACACGGTCAGTACTGTCCAGTACCCCTCCTTCGTGTCCATTCTCACTCCCATGATCCGATCACTGATTCCTGTTCACAGAGGAGACGCAGTCCTTGAGGGATTCTGCCACCGCTATGGCCACGCCATTCCGTTTGGTGTCTGCTCCATTGTAGAAGAGTTTGACGCCTTCTCCAATCTCGCGGGCCTTCGCACCCTTCCATCGCGTTTCCTGAAGGCATAGGACTTGGATATTCCTCCGTCTCATGAGGTCGGCAACCTCACGAGACTTCCCGGTAAGCGACCCCACGTTCAGGGTCCCAATTCGAACTAGCTTCTTTGGCCGAGGTCGTTCACCCCTCGGTAGCCCTCGCATACTGACCACAGAACTCGGGCGAGGGTTCTGCCCCACTTCCGGGTTCCTAAATTTGGGTACCTCCATCAGCCTGTCAACCTGGGCCTGACGCTGGTATCGTCCCCATTTTTGCAATTTTTGCAAGGCAGGTTTGTGCCTCGGCAGGGATCGAACTCGTGGCTCAGAGTGAGAACATGAGTCTGCACTCTTAACCACTCGGAAGAACGACTTGGAGAGGTCCAGTCAAGGTGGGGATAGGTAGGGCATGGGACAAGAAATAAAAAGCACACTTGACCTATGGGAAGCCCCGCCCACAGTGGGCGGGGCACTCGCCGAAAGTTTGGGGTTCCGCAGAAAAATGTTCATAATTCGCTTCCGGAGCAGCTTAAAGATGGGGAAAAAAGGGACTAAGGTTAGTAAGGAGTCGCCAGACTAACTGTGGCAGGTACACCCTAAATGGGCGGGGCGTACTCAAGGTGGGCGGTGCTTCTCGCAAAATTCAGTAACCCGGTTCGCGAGAGTGTTTGGAAGTCGCAAAAAACTCAGTGTAGAATGTAAATATCCGGCGAATACAGGGCACGCTCAAAGTGTTGAGACCCGCCCACAGTGGGCGGAGCTTGCCCTAAATCGCAGGATACTCATTTTTAAAGTTTGTAGCTCGGTTCCAGAGCATTGCAAAGACCGGAAAAACGTGCGTCAAGGTCGGCAAAGGGTCGCCGGTGAGGACTGTGGGGCACAAACATTGTGGGCGGAGCCTGCTCCGAGGTGGGCGGAGCCAGACAAAAAGGTCTGTAAAACACTCCGAAGACCGGAATAAAGTGAATTCAGGTCAGCAAGGGGTCGCCGATTAAGAAATGTGGGGTATACATATTGTGGGCGGGGCCAGCCGAGGTGGGCGGAGCCAGACGAAAATTCTCTAAAACTGTCCCAGAGCACTTCAAAGACCGGAAAAAAAACGTGGATTAAGGTCAGCAGAGGGTCGCCGGTGAGGATTGTGGGGCACAAACATTGTGGGCCTCTGCTCCGAGGTGGGCGGAGTCAGACGAAGAATCTGTAAAATAGCTCAAGAGTACTTCAGACACCGGAAAAAAGTGGAGTACAGAACAAAAGGCGGATATCAGTTGAGTCTAGAAATATGTGAAAGAAAGTCGGCGACTGATGTGAGGATGGTGAACGAGCAGTCCCCAGACGGCAAAAAGAAGTTGTGGTCTACACTCGGGAAACGTACGATCGTAAGATTGAGGTGTCACGAACAACACAAAAACCGGAACCAGATAACAACGAGTCGATGTTGCCAAAAGAAAGGCCTCCAATTTGCCTCCGTTCCTGTACGCTCAAGTCCACACGGAAAACATAAAAGTCGACAACAAAGTGATTGATGGAAAGTACGTTCGAACGGAGACCGAGCACATGATGAAGTAGGACTAGAAAGGGGTCGAGCCAGTAATGCAGTGACACGTCCCTCGCCGTCTCCCTTACTGACCCCCACTAACAATAAAAATTTACTTACTAACTGTCAGTATCTCAGTCTTCCGAAATCTGACCACTTTTTTCACCGACTTTTTTAGATCTGGCCGAACATTTGTTCGCCGGGTAGTTCGACCCGATGAATATCCTTCCGCTCAGCCCGGTACGGCGTGGCGTCCGCGGCACAGGCGCTGGCGCCAGGATACCCTAAATCACCAAATCCGCTGAATACTCGCCTCCGTGGGTAGCTCAACCTCTTGAGCACGTGTATCACACCTGCATAGAGTGCCAATGTGTTAAAGGCACGACAAGTCCTGAAGACGAGTAGGATTGAACGCCTGGCAGGACGGAATCGCGCCCCTGAGCAGGCGCTGCGTAGCGCCTTTTTCAAGGAAGGTACCCTTATAAGGCCCTATCAAGCTGCAACATACCGACCCGGACGCCCACCGCGCCCGCCCGCCCACAAATGGACGACCGTACCTGATGCTCGTATTGCTTCATTTGCTAAGTAAAATATGAAGCGAAGGGATTGATATGAAGCGGCTGCGGTGCTGCATGGATATATGAGTACATACGTGCAGCCGTATCTACCGTAGCGGTTATTGGCAAGATGCCTGCGGGAAACTCGTCCGAAATTGCTTTTGAGTCATTAAGAACGAAGGCTTTTCTTCGCAGGTTTTTGACCGTTTCACTTCGTTTTTTCGCCATTTTCCCACTATATAGCACCCTGCTAGCATTTTAGACTGAGACCAAATTGTCGCGCCATGCGCCCTTGAACGCTGGAGGAAAGGTGCGACAGTGCAGCCTCATGCGTCTGTTTGCTTCCTTCTCCGAGGAGCGATCCTTTACTTTGCTAAGCCTGAGCCTTAGCAAAAAGAAGGATTACCATCGTGAACAATGAAGAAGGATACTTTTTGTTGGCCGCTGGTTCGTAGCTTACTGGCACGAGAACCAAGGAGTCAGCGCTACTTGCGTCGCAGACAAAAGTGCATGTAGTGTCGTTGCCTGTAACATGTGCGGATAGCGATCTTGTGCTACCGAATGTCACAGTCGTATCAGGACACCAAACATTAAGTTTACATCGAATTTGGTAAGCAAGGTTGGTGCCAAGTCATGGCAAAAACTAATACGATATTAGTGGTCAGAGCATCGAACTTCACTTATGGGCGGGGCTTCGGCAAATCGTTTGACGTTTTTGGGGTAGTAGTAGTTGAGTAGTACCGGTTGTTGAGCCGCTACAGTTGCGACAACTCATTATCAGCAACTTATTATCTCTATTGCTGGAAAACCCTGCACGGCGCCGGGTTCGAATCCCGGGTGGCTCCCGCCCAGGCCAACCAAGCCTTCTACCCTCCGGGGACCGGCTGGCCCCCGCAAGTCATTGTATAGGCCACATCGCATTCAATAAGCCACTACGATTCTGAATGGAAGTAGAATGCGTGCCGCATCCCACAAAGGGATTGATCAACGGCGAAGACTTTATCCTTTATCCTTTATTGCTGGAAAACAACATAATCTTTTCCAAATCAAACCGCAATGTGGTTTGACATTATCGTTGAAATTTGATAACTTGCTACGACTATGATAATTTAGAACAAAAGACCGCGGTCCCCCTGGTTTGATGAAATTATCACCCAATGGCAAACTGGCGATTCTTCAGCGGCAGATTAACTCGGTGGTTTGTTGGTCCACAGCATACTCATTGAGAGACAGGGCTGAGATCCGTACTCGTCAAATTGTTTTAGGACATTGTACTCCTTGAGAAGAATGACGGCACAACTGCTGTTGAATTCAATGTGCCCACAAAATGCAAAGATATGATTCTCAGTGTCGACTGGATTACCGATAATCAGGTGCGAGGATGGTCTCTTCATGATGTTCTTTTTGCACGTTTTCTTCGTTGAACTTCAGATACTCTTCGTCACTAAGCAGACTCTCGAGCTTTTCTCTCTGAACGAGGAAAAGATGTCCGCAAAACTCTTACGAACCCTGAACGTTTCAGCATCCTGGTCGCTCTTTTATGTCAGTGAATCCTAAGTATTTCATTATTGTTCGGGATATTTCCCCTTCAATCATGCGATGATGTTATATATTCTGTTTTTAGGCCAAATCGAGTTTAATCATTTTGGCAACAGGAAGTAACTGTATAACGCTCCAACCTTTTCTCATACACCATGGCCAGTTCACAAGGCTCAAGGTGAACATTCATATGATTGTGAGGGCTGGTAACTTTTGATTTTCCCGTAATTATTAGGTCTTAGCACAAGTTGCATCGTTTATCCCAACACCCTAAAATTGAACTAACTTAAAGACACATGGTACGCTCAAACACATTGAGGGTGTATGAGACTATCAGCCCCCCAGCTGTCGATGTGTCGTGGTCCCCCCGCCCAAAACTGCACGGGGTCAGAGTACGGGGCCGTGGGAAAGTCGTAATTCCTTGCTACGCCGCCCGTTTTTGCAAACTCACGTTTTTACTAACACCGTCCGCGCGGCGCGGTCGCGTGCAGCTCTCTTGGCTTTTTGCCAAGTCCTGTGCGCTTTGGAATACAAGTACAACGCAATTTCTTTATGCGGATAACATTTTAGGTGCTGCAAAATAAGAACCGAAGATGATGACGAGGGCTAGAACTCAAGAGCAACTGTGGTGCTTCTGCAATATCCCTCAGAGGCCGCGCATTCCCACAGAACATGACAATAAAAACGGCCTAAGCGTCCCACTCGTTAGTTTGAAGTATTTCTATAGCATTAGAGCCGGATTCGAGCCGGATCGCAGAAATGCACACGCGATTTTAATTTATTGCGTTTCCTTAGTTTTTTCAATTTTGTTTTATTTACATCTACATTCGTTGTTGTTCATTTCTAGCCTTTGTCATCTTCATCACCTTCTATTCGGACTTAGCATGAGCAATACCTCAAATGTTAGGAAACTTGCGTTTTGTCGTTGTCCGTTTTTATTGTCATGTTCTGTGGGAATGCGCGGCCTCTGAGGGATATTGCAGAAGCACCACAGTTGCTCTTGAGTTCTAGCCCTCCATCATCTTCGGTTCTTATTTTGCAGCACCTAAAATGTTATCCGCATAAAATTGCGTTGTACTTGTATTCCAAAGCGCAATTACAGGACTTGGCAAAAAGCCAAGAGAGCTGCACGCGACCGCGCCGCGCGGATGGTGTTAGCATAAACGTGAGGGCGGTGTAGCAAGGAATTACGACTTTCCCACGGCCCCGTACTCTGACCCCGTGCAGTTTTGGGCGGGGGGACCACGACACATCGACAGCTGGGGGGCTGATAGTCTCATACACCCTCAATGTGTTTGAGCGTACCATGTGTCTTTAAGCACAGTTGAGGGGATAATTCAGTCAGCAAGTCCTGTTTTCGACGATAATTGTATTTGGAGCTATAGTTTATGCTGCTGCTTTATTAGCGATGAAGGAGGCAGCTTGCAGTGTTTCTCCGCTTGCGAAGGGTTATTTTTGCTGGTGGAGGGAGGGGGCAGTTCGAAGTAGCTTCAAAAAGCTTTAAGAATGGTAGATTTGACAAGGCTACTGTACTGGGTGATCTACAGCTGAAGGTCCTTCAGATGGGAGACGGTTGCTGGTCATTCTCCTTCGACTCCAGTCAGTTTCTAATACTCGAACACCCTCCGTTGCTAGTTGAACTTGACAGTTCTTTCAGAATGGGCATGTGATTCAGGTCGAAGGTGTCATTCTGAGCTTGGGTCTATGAAAGGCCGAAATACTCACGATACAGAAGGGATCGTCGAGAACGGGTATTTTTGCTCTTTGGAATTCCTTCTTCGAACTCCCTGAGAATGAGCAAACAAGTCGTACAGTCCGCAAATAGAGTGGATTAGTTACGTTCAGAAACGGCTGTACCCACTTTGTCAAGCCAATATGTTACTATTTCAGAGTTTTGACGTCGACTCCAGTACATCTTCTAATGAAAATTTACTCGAGAAAGATGTCACAGTAACTTCCATGTATGTTCAGTTGCTGTTCCGATTTCCACTAAGCTATCTGCTCTTCCTGGATCTTTTATTCTTCTTTAATTCTTCTTATATTAGAAAGACAGAGAACAGCCTATCTTCCACGTAGTTTCTAGATACGGGAAAATTTGTGTGATGGTGTTGCGATATAATGCTGGTGGCTCCACTACGACAGATCTCATGATATACGAACTTACCTCCGATGTACAATGCGCTGCCAAAATGAAGTATTCGTTAGCTTTAGGTATTTTCGTTCATTGGATAAGATATCTCTTTGGTGGGATTTGCTTTTTTTCCGAATATGAGTATCAACGCATGTAGTTAGTGATGTCCTAACATCATAATGCACACGAATTAGTAAGAGTTTATAGACCAAAAACACCTAGTTGAGCTTCAAATATGAATTTTATTTAGGGTGCTCCGGAGGATTCGGCATTCACGTTATCGACAATCTAGTAATTGTTCATCATCAGGTAGGTTTGCAGCCTATCTTGGGTAAGAATGGCATTCTGCTCGCTAAAAATTTCTTTCTGCTCGCTAAAGTAGTCTCGCTAAAAATTATTCTTAGCACTGTTGCAAGGTGTATTTGAAGCTCTTCACTTGGTTAACACGTTTATTGGCGAGCTTTCGGCACGTAATGCCTTCGTCAGGCCTTAAATTACAGTGCTTAACATATAACAGCTACAAAAAGAATACATCGAGATGGTTACATACCAGTGATGAAGGGACGGACCTATCAGTGGGGACACAGGGACATAAAATGACCCGCGCTGCGTGCCTAAGTGTACGGTCCCGCGAGAAACTGCTTCGTGGGTAAGCAGCGGGGTTGGTCAGCGCTCTTCTGTGCTCGTCTAGACGATTCTTCAACGGTCGTGCGGTCTCCCCGACATATTTCTCTCCACATCCTCTGCACTGTATCAAGTAGACGGTGCCTTGGAGTTCACAAATCTTTTCAGATGTACAGTATCGGCAAGATTCTTCGTGACACCGGCTTTCATAGATTCTTGAAGATGTCAGGAGGGCTTTCAATGTGGGAGGAGGAAATTTTTATATGAAGGCGAACGTCGTGCGAAATCTGGTCAAAACGAAGGAGAAGCTCGGGACGCGAAGGGATCCAGATGTGGATGCTAAGGTCAAAAACATCCTTGG